CAAAAACACGGGGTGGAAGAGAGAACAAAGGTAAGTGGGGAAACATAACAGAGAATGGAACTTGGTTTTGGATAGCTGAAGATGACATACGATTAATAAGATAGCAAGATGTAAGAACTGCATCCCCCCAAAAATGCAACGGAGCATGAGATTGTATGAGTAGGGTACGAGCAGTTTCAATAAGATGTCTATTCTTTCTTTCAGCTACCCCATTTTGTTGAGATGTGTACGGACAAGATGTTTGATGAATAAGATCTTCATATTGCAATAATAGATTGATCTCTTCCCCTGCTCCTTTTCCCATCACTCTTGAATTTGACATCAAAGGAGGTTAATCCTTTTAATTCCAGTGAGCCTTTGAACCTTTGTTTCTTCACCTCCATCTCGGTCTCCACTCTTATAACTTGTCTGCAACTGTCAATTTGCATTAGTAACTCCAATGCTTCTTCTTCATGGCCTTGAAAATCTACTTCAAACATTTTCCTCAATTTGATCATATTTTGATGGACCCACAGTGTTGCATCATCTCTTTATCCATTACTGGATTGTGTTGTACTGATATAGGAGTAACCTCCTCGATTTCCCAATCTTGGATAGAGTTGAAGTGCTTTAGCTGTTGTTGGTGCTCCAATGCATTTTCAACTTGATCTTCCCCCATCTTTTTGTTTATGGTATGGTCCCCTGCCTTCTGTCCCAGTATTCCTATCTCTGCTTCACCTTCTGGCTGATCGCAACTCATATGTGTTGCCTGTGGCATAATTTCAAGGTTTGCAATGGGAATTGGATCCCCTGGACTGGATTCTTTGACTTTCAAGTAAGAGGTGCATCCCAGTTCCTCAATATAAGGCGTCAACCTAATTTCATCAGTGGCCTCACACGAGAGATCAAAATGACTTGTGCAGCCAAATCAGACTCATTTGTTTTCAGCTCATTATTCGCCACATTAATGCACAGATTTGTCGAACTTGGACCTTGCGTATGTTGCACCCGTGTCTTTCCCTTATTATTATTTTGCAATATGGTGCATCCCACTTGGTCGTCCATGTTTCTCTTTGCTCCAAAGCTATGTGTGTTTTCCGACGACTTCAGCTCAAATCTTGCCTGTTTTTCAGCCCAGATTGGGATGAAAAATTTGATCCCTTCTCTTTCAATCCCAATCTCATTAGGAATCTTTCTGCCGTCACCAACAATTTGAATTCTAGCCCACTTAAGGTGATTTTTGAGATCAATTTCTTATTCAGTAGCTATCCATCCCCCACAAAGATCTCCTATTTCTTTGAAGATCTTTTGTGACCACAGATATAAGGGAATCCCCATGGCTCTGATCCAGCATGTTTCCACAATTTGAGAGTTTGGAATGCATCCAACAATGTAGTTCCACCATTCTAGATGAAGCTTGAATTTTTTCCATCTCCAATCTCCTTGCAGAATCTGCTCAGCCATGTATCTGTTCGGAAACTCAAATAGAAACATGTTGCCGGTCATTTCATACATGTTGACTCCATATGCTTTGTTCCATGAAGCAGTAGCCCATCGCCTTATGTCTGCTAAAGTGGGTCTCTCAGTGATTCCTTTCCCAAAATACCCAATAATGCATCTTTTTAGTAAACCTGTGTCCGCTCCGGGAGGTTCCAAAACAGAGATATCTCCATTGTTTGTACTGACATTTGCCTCTCGAAGGGTATTGGATTGCCATTTACTCTCCTTAACTGCTTTGACATAAGGATAGTTGTCCACAGTGTTTCTGGGTGGTACTGTGGTATTCAGGCTTGGGGGCATGATAGATGAATCTTTCTATCTTAGCTACTATGTCTTTCCAGCCTGCATTCAAAGCTAACTCTGGGATTATAATAACTGACCTCCCTTCTCCCTTTAGTGGCAGAATACTCATATCTTCCATGAGTGTTAAATTTCCTAGTGCAGAAATGTTCTGTCATTTGGTCCTTATACTTCCATCTCTTTACTAAATTCTTTTGATCTGTCGAGGCTTCTTTAAGTACAAAGCAAATCCATTCCATTGTCTTTCTACCCATGGATAAGCGTCTCATCATGTTGCGGCTTCTCTCCACCCATCCAAACCATATATCTTTGTTGGAGTTCCATCTGGTGATGTCAAAAGATTTGAATCCGGCGTTGAAGTATATCCTGTTGTTTCCCATAATGTACTAACCCGCTGCTCAGGTTATGAAAATTATAGAGGGTGTTTGATAGTAATCACAGTGGGTGAATACTAATTCCGAAGGAGATGTTTGGCTCCGTTGAGAGGCTCCCCGTGATGGTATTCTGCTTGAGAAGAAGAAGAGAGAATTTTGTTTTGCAGCTGAATGAAAAATGATTGAAAAATGGAAGCTTCACGTCGCCGGAGAAAACTAAAAGTGGTCGGAATCTAGATCTGCAAGGAAGGGTTTGGNTTCCAGGTTCTCAGGCTCCTCGCACTCCCCTGAGAGCAGATTTTTAGTATTGTTTCAAGTCCAAATTATCCAATTCAATTGTCATATTTAATACAACATACCAAACAATAGATAAAAAGCAATCCCAGCATAACGTACACCGGTATAACTTATCCCGGCATAAGCCGTATTCAAACCAAACGACCCCTAAAGGAGTTACTATTGGAGCAAGGAAGAATATTAGCTAAGGCAGATGGCGGTAGGAGAAAACATTAGGCTTTTAACAGGTACAATGTTCAGAGGTATTGCACCAAAAGTTGCTTTTACTTATTATATCTATTAAAACACCGATGTTTCTTGATGTGAATTTTTCTTTAGCTGAAAATTGAAATAACCTCATTAAATCCGTGCTAATTTTTTCTTAAATTTAGAACAGAAAAAGTCTCCTTTATTGAGATGCCTTGTTTTGGAATTGTCAGATGACGTGAGACATACTAGAATCTTTTTGGAAAATTCAAAGGCTTAATTGTTCAGATTGATAGCATGAGCAATTGAGATATTAAAATGTTAGCCCTCGATATTACATAAGTGTTGATCAGTTACCGCGCTCCTGAATTTTAATTGAATGGTCAACAGTTAAATTTTGTTCATAAATTCAACCTGATCTCTGCGTGTAATGAGCAAGATGATTGGGGAGAAAAACAAATTATCTAGCTTTTATCCAGACAAAAATCATGCCTTGTCTATTCCTCTAAATACCATTTACCTTATCCTCACGACCAGCAAAACAATGTGGTCATCTCCAATTATTTTCTTGATATACAAATGCTTGATTAGTACAAAGAAACTGCCGAGTCCAAAGATGAGGCTGGTTCGAATCAGGCCTTCATTACTTTCTTTTTTGGTTTTCTCATCTTTTTATATATTTGTGCTATTCATTGTGTGGGAAGCAATTATTTGTCAGTATTTCTCCCTTAGCATGTCAAATTGCTTAGACATGCGAGACCGATAGAAACATTAGCGTTATTCATTATGGTAAATTGAATTGTCGATATAGATCCATATATGTAATTTATGACCAATCAATCCTACAAATCAAGATAAAGGATGATTTTTGAGGGATTTCCCCCTTATTTTAAGTAGGGATTAGGGGAAGGGCGGAGACATTTTTTTGTATGGAAAAAACGTACTGATACTCGATGTTTACACCATACCACATAAATTTACTATGGTTAAGTATGGATTGAGGCGGAAGTACATACCAATCCACCATGATTAGAGATAAAATTGTATATGAATGATACGCGTGCAATGTATTATTGGTGTAAACACTGGACGGCGGCTACATAAATGTGATTACAGTGATTCATTTCCAGTGTTTACATTTTTATTCTGTTGGCAGGATTACATGGGAAGATGCATACTGACATTGACAAAAGTACTAATGGAAGGAGAATATAAAGAAAGCTTTGAATTAGATGGAGCTAAATCAGGGAAACTCAACTTGCATCTCAAATGGGCACCGCAGCCCATATATAGGGACTCCTAATGATAAAACTTTTTTATAGGAATGTTTTTTGTTGTTGTAAGACTTGTATACAATAGAAGTTATTTTGTATCTTTGCGTTATAGGCAGTGATAATTTGTAGAATTAATCATTTTTGTAGATAATTGTTTGATTAATGCAGAAGAGAGATAAATGTAAAGCTGCAAAACTTCTGAAGTAAAGTTGAAGCTGGAGAAAGAATAAAATGTAATATAAGCTTACATATATAAACTTAAGAGTAAGGCGTTTGTTTGGTTAGATGTATTATTAGAAATAATATAGGGATTTAATAATAATATAGTACTTCCCTTAAGAATGTAGTTGCTTTTTTACTTGTTCATAATGCATTTTGTGCTATCCTTAAGAAAACATCAATTAAGTATTTATTTTACTAAATTACCCTTATTAATGATAATTAATACTAGTATCACTTGACTACTTATTCTCCAATAATTTGAAAAATGGCGACTTAATGTATAAGAGTAAATTAGAAAAAAAAAATTGATTTTCTATTGATTCTCTTGAGTGGAGAAGTGAAAAAGAACTTTTATCTTAGTAGGCTATTCTTTTCAAAATGCCCATTAACAGAGTACATCATATACTATCCTAAAAGTGGAACCTTAAATGTTAGAATTTGAATTACCAAAATATTGACAAAAACTAGTCCAAAAACACGTGCGCTAAGATACACGAAAAAAATTCAAAAATAATTAGATTTACAAGTGGTCATTCAAAAATAAAAACCGTTTCAAAAATAATTGTAAAATAGCCACTTTTCATGTAAAGATAAATCTGAACGAAAACACTATTCAAAATCTGAAAAAATGCAAGTATAATATACTGGAATTCCAGTATAATATACTAGAACTCCAATATATACTGGAGATTGGAGCATAATATGCTGGAAGTTACCGATCTCCAGTATGTTATGCTGGAACTTTTCGTGTAGCAGCAAAATAGTGGCTATTTTTCAATGACTTGCAAACGCTGGCTATTTTTGAATGACCAGTCCAAAAACTGGCTAACCCGTGCTACTTTTACAAGATACACTTGCAACACACCTGTCCAGAAACTAGTCAATTCAATAACATAACGATAAAATTGTAATAAGCAGCTGTTTCAACTTTCAACACGAAAGAGTTTCAATCATCTTCGGGGAACTTTACAAGGACTTAACACTTCCATAATGACATGATGCTGCCATAAACAACACAAATTTCTTAGTAGTAAGGTAGCTGGATCCACTCTTCAACACAAGTAGATAGATTTTGAAACTGGACAGTAGGACCGTGGCGTAAAACTACCACTACGTTGACAACAACAACAACCCAGTATAATCTCACACGTGGGGTCTGGGGAGGGTAATATGTACGCAGACCTTACCCCTACCCCGAAGGGTAGAGAGCCTGTTTCCAGGAGACCCTCGGCTCAAAAAACAACAGAAGCCGATATATTAGTACCATAAAAATGCATAATAAAATAACAACGTTGACAACATGCTTGAGAAACTATGTTTCAGAACCGCGCAGTGGAGGGCCTTTCTGAAATGACAGAGTGTAGATGATTCTTATTCAACTTTCTCCTGCGACGAGCACTTCCCCTGCATAACCATGAGTTGCACTCATCAATCAATGGGAGACATCAATAGTAAACAACAATGGGAATCATTAGATGCTTTGCTGTACTGAAGAGTGTGGCGTAGCGGTTAATGAAGTGGGTGAAAACTATAGGAGATCAGCGTTCAAATTCCAACATAAACAAAATGCTAGATGATTTATTCCCATCTACTTAAGCCATGGTGGACAGAGTTACACGGTGTGATGCGGAACACTCGAGGTGCACACAAACTAACAAACGCCATCGTTATAAAAGAATGATCATACACCAATTTGTATTTCAAGAAATAAAATGGTCGTAAGAGCTCAGACATATAGAGACATTGACGAGGGCAACTGTGGAAGAATCAATAAGCAGTGAATGCATAAAGCTGAGGTACAAGTACTAGCTTGTCAAGATTTATCAGTAAAAATGACTCTTCACTTGTGAGGGTAGAACTCTAATGGAAACTTAATGCTTTATATTTTAGCAAAACCAATTAGTTTCCATCACAGTGCATCAAAGGCATTTCCTTGGATCTTTCCATGTGTAGGATTAAATGCAGAAATGTTATTTCAGTTTTGTTCAGTAACTAAATTTATCAAAAAAATCACAAGGTCAGTCCATCGACTAGGATATAAGAGCAAGTGCATTAGATATTCTTAGCCATCCTAGTCATGGCATCTACTATTCCGGACTCTTTTGGTTAAACATCAGTATCTCACACAAGACGCGGTGTTGTTGACAAAATCACCTTTTAGCCTTGAGAATGATTTCAAGATTCAGTGTTGTTAACATAAAAGTAACACCACATTTGTTCACTATTTTATGGCATAGATCTAAAGTCTGAAAGCTATATGCGTTGGAAGTTCTTCAATGTTATCAAATTCTGACTAATCTGTTCCAATTAGATGGGACCAATAAACAAATTATTGTGGGAGAGGGCAGCGCGGTGCACTAAGCTCCCGCTATGCGCGGGGTCCGGGAAAGGGTCGGTCCACAAGGGACTTTGTACGTAGCCTTACCCTGCATTTCTGCAGGAGGCTATTTCCACGGCTCAAAACCGTGACCTCCTGGTCACATGACAGCAACTTTACCAGTTATGCCAAAAGGTTCCCCTTTATTGTAGGAGAAATGAAAAGAAATTTTATGGAAAAGCTAGAAAGGAATGACACTGACCAATACTGGTTGTGCAACGTGAACGAGTCAGTTGTAACTTTAATTCCATCGTCATTTCGGTTCCAGTGGTAGATTGCATGTGTTCTATTCTTGATCTCTAGCGTCGAATGACCATAACTAGCTTCACGGAAAGCAGAATAATCTGGCTGTGGATCTCTAAATCTGCATAGAAAGGGAAATGATAATACTGTTCAACAGCATGCGGAAAGCCACATTAGTTGGATAGAAAAAAATGTACAGCAATAAAATTCCGTAAACTCAGGCTGTTAACAGAGTCAGAGTCAGATAAATCAATTACATATTAAATAGACAAAGGTCCTTGGACAGGATCCCTTGTGAAAATTGTGGTGGTTGGAGATATTTTTGGAAGGACAAAAAGAAGCAAAAACAAACGACAAAACATAACTCAAACTTATCAGATAAGGTGGATAACATAATTCAGCAAGAGCGCGTAAGGTGTCATTGACTAGGGTAATCCCTGCAATCTGTGTAACTTACCTTGAAGCAAGACCTTCTTGATTTCCTCCATCACCAACAGTTATGTAAATAGGAGCTGTTTTATCCGGTACGGGATAAGCATCACCACCCGAGACATTATAGTGTATATTAGATATGCGATACTGAAAAGGATAAAAAATAGGAGGTCTCAACATCAGAGCATAATTATTACGATACCGATAAAGTTTGAAAATTGAAAAAAGACACGACAGAAGAAATGTGCAACTGATTTCTGTAACTAAATTCTCTCTAAGGCAACAGTGTATCACATATCTTCAATAAAAGAAAGGAGGCATTTATGTCTCTCTAGCCTATATCCTGATAGCCTCACATTACTGCAATTTGTGCTCAAATATTTTGAGCAAAATGTTAGGTCATCCCAGAATATATCTCGGTTTGGCAAACTCAGCATTCTTCTCTATTGCGCCTAAAATCTCTATTTTTGCTAATATTCCATGTGTTTCTATTTGTCTGCTCAGACACTCCAATCTTTGGTTGACAATATTATGTGGAGAAGACCGCAATTTACTCAAAGATATAGAGCATTGTCGGTTGAACTTTGTCAATAGGTTTCTTAGCTTCCTATTGATCTTGATTTTTTTATTTTTTTTTGCGCGAGTTAATTTCAGCTATGACCAAAGCCCCACTAGCTAAGTGGTCATACAAAAAGCTACATGATTTGGAAATATAATATCAAAATGTCATCTTTTTCTTTGCAGGGACAAGCAGTGATGGCGAGTATGATGATGAGATAAGACAACTTACTGATCTTTCATAAGCATGGACATGGCCAGCAAATATCACATCAACCCTATGTTTGATAAACCATCTTTCAAAGACGGATCTCATGCTTTCCCCTTCCATGAAATGAGCTTCATTACTATTGTAGATGGGAACATGCATAAGGACTATAAGCCAAGGAGTTTTCTCTCTATTCACATTTTTCAGCTCCTGCTTCAGCCAATGCCATTGAGGCGTATATTTTACTGCGAGACAAGAGACACAGTGACTGAGTAGCTATCCAATCAAACGAACCATTTTTATGGTAGATGATGCTCAAAGGTATAGTAAAACAAGAACAACTAGAAACATTTTCAGGTTTTAGACAATTCAAAACTAGGTCCTAAAGCTTGTTCTTTGCATTAAAAAACCAGCAGAAATTACTTTGTTCTAAGCTTGAAGAGACCTGTACGTGAAAAAAAAAAATTCCCTAGCCAAATGCACCAAATGATTACTGGAACTGTTTTCTTCCTTCACATGGACATGGTTAGTCCCATCTCCAGAAGATGAAAGTAGCTGAATGAGGATGTTGATATGGATGTGTGGACATACCAAGAAAGACAATAAAGTTATTAGGGAAAAGGTGAGAATAGCCTCTGTGGAGGACAAGTTGCGGGAGTCGAGGAGAGACATAGATGCCCCGGTCAGGAGGGGTGAGAGGTTGACCATAGCGGGTCCGAGGAAGGGTAGGGGTAGGCCAAAGAAGTATTGGGGAGAGGTAATTAGGCAGGACATGTCATTGCTTCAGCTTACCGAGGATATGACCCACGATAGGAAGGTGTGGAGGTCAAGGATTAGGGTTGAAGGTTGACAAGTAACAGTGTGTTTCTCCTAGGCTTTTCTCCTAGGCTTACCAGTAGCACTAGGAATATTCTTCTAATTTCTTATTCATGGTTCTTTATTATTACATGCTATGCCATTCGCGTCCGTTACCATATTACATTGTTGTTACTATTGTTTGTTGCTTGGTTGCTTTATTTTCACTGTTCCTTGAGTCGAGGGTCTATTGGAAACAACCTCTCTATATTTATAAGCTAGGGGTATGATCTGCATACACATTATCCTCCCCAGGCCCCACTTATGGGATTACACCGGATTTTTGTTGTTGTTGTTGTTGTACATGGACATGGTTCGGCAGTGGAAGAACGCATAACTGGTAATGAAGAAAACAACTAGCAAAAAGAAGCCAGCAAATCATCTTGGCAAAACTGCAGTGCAAAAGCTAATGAGCATGAGTTCGAGGATTTTTACTTACAGATGCATATACGTAGTTGATTACATGATGTTTTGCATTTCATTTAGAAAGTTCATTAGTCCATCTTAACACCATTAACTGCAAATATTTTGTTCGTGTGGCCTTTTAAGTCTTCTGAAACTAGAGAATCTATAAATTCACGTTTAACGGCAAGATATCAGAACAAATCATTGCACCTACTAAAGTAAGAGAAAAGGGACAGATGTATTATTTACAAAGAAGCAAGACATAAGAGGGAACAATTACTTACCAAAAGGAGAGTAGCTTGATAGGACAATTATGTGAGAGGATGCCCTTCTGATGGCATACCAAAGGGGATTACTGCTTCTTGAAACTTGATAAGGTGTTGGGTATCTATATAGAAATGATTTGAATGGAACTACTTCCCCCTGTACATAATGAGAAGTATTGTCAACGGGCATCAGAATATTTTAAATGGACACAGTGCAGAGGTCCTTAAGAAGGGAGAAATTTTTATACGACTCATTGGAGGTGTTTTTATGTTATTCTAATTTAGTACATTTTAAAAAATTTCTCTCAAAGACATGAGCACATCTGACGTCTGAATTAGAAATGAATATGGGAATTTTGCTAAATACAGAATTATGGTCATGCTTGGCATATCTAGCCATCACGGCCTCAGGTCCATCTGAGGATTGTGAAAGAATCACCATTGTTCAACATAGCGCAGAACATCTTTAAGTCATCTTTAGTTCGAGTGAATGGAGTGCTTGTGGCTACTAGAATGTTGCAACATACGCTGACATCTCAGAACAAAATGAAGTAAATCTCATTTTGTAACTAGAAAGCAGTAGTAACAATGAGATTAAAACATGTCCTACAGTAGTCCTGACGTTATAAAAAGCCAAAAACTTTGTGAAACATATGTAAGGTCATTACCATATTTGGAAAGTACTCTATCTCATGATTCCCAGCGGACCAAATCCATGGCTGGTATGCTGCACTTTGTTCAACGAAGCGGCCCCATGTATCCCAACGGACTCCAACATCGTTATACTCATATCTGTCAGCATAAGAGAGATCTCCAACAAACAAGACACTTTTGGCTCCACTTTGCATGTAGTGCTGAAGAGTAGAAAGAGAATTATATGTTTGACCAAGATCACCTGCAAAGAACATCAATGACGTGTAAATAAGAAAATCCTGCCATGATAAGGTCATAACATAGTGCATAAAATATGTGAAAAAACTCGAATGCTTTTGATACACGGTCTCGGTTTAAATATGGTGAACGGATAAGAAACATTAGCTAACTTTTCACCCCAAAGATAGAGAGTCATAGATTTCTAATGTTGCTTCCTATGAGTGGTTGACTTGTTTTACAATAGCAAGAAAAACACAAAGAAACTTGTTCTATATTGTTAAATCAAAAAACTATGTTTCCGTCATAACAAAGGTATATGATGTCGTGGTGCATAACCCATCTTCTTATAGTCTACAGGGATACAGCTTGTCCTTCTGAAAAACCTTAAGAAACTTGTTTAGATAAGTAATCAAATAGAAATTTAAACTACTTACCTATGATGCCAAATTTGTAAGAAGCATCTGGATCAACTTTTGGAGGAGTTTCAAACCAAAACTTCCGAGCAGAATCGTCTTTTCCGATTTCATAGTAGTACTTTGTGTCATACTAAACAAGAAAATAAAAGCAAATTGGTCAAACAGATTAAAAAAGGGGGAGAGAGGAAACATTTAAGACATCTATATGCTATTACCGCCAGATCTAACTCAGAATTTGATCTGACGAACAAAAATTTAAAAACATCTAATAGCCAGATGGAAAGCAGAATTTGATGTTCTCCTATCAACCCAAGTTTATATCCAAACTCTTGTAATTACACTAGACTTTCTTTTTTCTAATTGTTATCTTTTTTTGATGTCTACTACTTTCTTGAAACTGTACAATTGCGAAATGTTAGTTGACCTATTATTCTTGATCCTTTTTCAGTTACGGCCCTTGTTCTTAGTCTTGTGCCAGTCTTTGCCTTGTTGAAATGAAACAGAGGAAATCATGTAATAGGAACTAAGAAGAGAGATTATGCGTACCAATTATATTGCCAGAGAAATGAAATACCACCCTCCCGCAAACAGAAAACTGAGCAGTACTTATTTGGTTGTGGGAAAAGTATATGAGAATGCTCACCTATATGCTACGCGAAAATGCACTGGACGTGATGTTTATTAGCCCATAACCAACAAGATAAAAATGATGAATGTTTCAGTTTTCAAAAGAGGATATCAAAAATGTTGGTGTTGACTACCTGAAGGCCAGTAACAAGGCACTGATGTATATAACCGGACTTGTAGTTGTAAAATGTGTAGTTTGTTACAGTCCCCTCAGCAGTAAAATCATATTTCCCCTCAGATAAGCCGTAACGCACTTGGCTAGACCCTGGTTCATCAGGAGTTATCCATGAAATTATGACAGCCTTCCCATCATAGTCACCCTGTGTAATATGCACCTACAAAAATGAATGGAAGTCATTAGCACTTCGGATGACACATAACCCATTGTAATCTCAAAGGCATGTTTATGAAAAATAAAACATATCAGAGCAAGACTTCTCCATTGGAAACAGCTTGTTGTTTGAACTAGTCTCAAAGAAACTACAGTCACATTTAAAAATAAAAAAAAGTGGAGTTTAAGCCTCTCGTGTTCTGGGGAACGATGAGCATGACAAGACTTATAGATTAGAGTACAACAATATTATACTTTTTTTATTTCACAATTCTCATTTCGTCCAGAAAGTGATCGTAAAGAACTTTGCAATCTGAAGCATGAATACTAAACATCGAACAACAACATGGATTAATCTTTTTGACCAGGTTGAACTAAGACATGGACTTAAAGAAGTCGAATAAGAATTGACTATGAAAAAAGACTTTTAACCAAACAAATACTTCTTTAAGAAAGTTTTGAATGATCCAACAAGAAAGTAAGTCTTAGGACTCCAAACTTACTTGCTGTGGAGCGTTGTAACCCTTTGGAACTGCAAATACTTCATTTTCAAGAGGAATATCCACAGACGGCCACTGAGTTCGAACAAATGCACTAGTTATACCAGCATTCCCATTGTCTATAAATGTCAAGACGAGAGATAACAAAAAAAAGAGATGAAGCAACATTGGCTCCTCTCCCCCTAACTTCCAAGAGGAGCACTGCTCGATCAGAGAAGAGTTCGGGCAACTCAAGTTTTAATTGACTGCATCCAAGAAGAACCAACACAGGGATCAGAAGGAGTATCATTTTTCTCCAAGACTCATTCCAGTTCAGATCACATCATCAAATAAAAAGAAAATGAAAACCATGTCAATTATCGATTTCCAAAATGCATTCTTTTGAATTGGGTATACTAGAACTATTACAAATCAATAAAGAATGTATAAGTTTTTTTATGGATAGTGTTCAGCTTGCGCGCCCCTCAACTATTCCATCAGGTACCTGCTACCTCGAACAGATACCGAGCAACTTTGCCAACTTAGGCAGATAAGAAGAAATCACCTAGTATTTTTTTGCCCTCTAGTGGTTTTTGAATCTAAGATCTCATGGTTCTCCTCCGACTTCATTGACCACTAAGTCACACCCTTGGGTGCATAACGAATGTACAAGTTTCCAGCTCATTGATAACATTTATAGTTCTTAACCTCTATGACTAAACCACAAATCTTAAGAAAATCTACACTCATATGAATGAATGTAACTAGAACATCAAGAAAGTGATATGGGCAGGGCAAAACTAGAGTATAACTTACGGATTCGACGGAACCCAATAGCTTTAGTCCAAACCCTATATTTGTCTTAAGAAATCCATTGAGTATGTACAAATAACTAATTTAGAACCAGTAACTTAAAAGAACTAGAATCCCGAACCCATAAACTTCAAATCCTGTCTCCGCCTCTGGATATGGGATTGTACCTCGAAGGTTGAAACCAGAGGGGAGTGAACCAGCAAGGCTAAGGGGTTGATATCAGCACAGCTTAATTCATAACAAAAATGTATCCTTTTGAACTGGGTATTACTAGAATCATTACAATTTACAAATGTAAAATGTGGATCTTAGCTCAACTAAACTAAGCAGAAAATGAAGATCATATATCAATTATCAATATCAAAACATGCTATTTTCAAGATTGGGTGTACAAATTAAAACTTATCACAAATGTAATATAAATGTATCAAAATACAATCTTTCTTAACGAACAATCAAGAAAATAAAGGGAGTGATAAGGGTATTGTACCTTAAATGCTGAAACCACAAAGGAGTCAACGAGCAAGTCTTAGGTAAGCTTTTCTATACTAAAAATATCAAATCTTTTGAAATGGGTATATCAAAAAACTGATCTTTGAATTGGGTGTAGTAAAAATATTGAGAATTAGTCTACTACAAAAGCATATGAATTTAAAAGGGAACAGTGTCTCTGTCAGTTCAGTTTGTGTGTGGTTTAATGTTAGTTTAATGGCGTGAAAATACAGGAATGTACTAACGTGTCAAGAGAAATATGTGGTTACGTGGCAAGATGTGATTGGTGATCTCTTTTGTGAACCAGACGATTGTTATCGGCGCCCTCTGGACCCATTGGATGAGTTTAGGACTAATGAAATATCTTGTGCTTTTTTTTTACGTAATCCTCCCTATCTTATATCTTTTCTTGGTCTAATCTTTTTTTGATATTTTTTAATAGAATTAATACCCTAAAACTCACTTAAACTATTATATTTTTGTCAATTTCCTACTTAAACGATTTGGTGTCCTCAAAATTCTCATGAATTATATTGCCCTTCATATTAAAACTCTCTTGTTGATGACCTAGCATAACGTGTGTAAATACTCGCTCGGAAGCGTGTGACAGCTGAAAAAATCCATCAAAATGGCCCACCTGACCAAAAATAATGGCTAATAAGCCTAACCATCTTTCAAATTTATTTTTTTAAAATAAATATTCTCCTTATTTCTTATATCCACTTTTCTTCCTCATTTTTTAATCACTCTTTTATTTTTTTCACCTTTCTTCTTCTTTTTCACCTTCTTCATTTTTTTACCTTTTTTCTTCAGTTCTCCACATGAGTTACCTCGGAAAATATTTTTCTCTCTCTTGTTTTCTTTGATATTGTTTATTCTCTTTCTTGTTTTAGTCTTCCTTCATGTCTTATATACATATTATTGAAATAATACTAATTTAAATCTTCTTATTAAACTCAATACCTTGTAGAGAATAAAGTTAAATCTCTTGAACCTTTTTTATATAATCTGGAATTAGAGAATGTAATTGCTGGCCAGTTGATTTTTTATTTGCGAAATTTTATTTTGTTTAACTTTTTTTATGTAATATAAGATGATTTTAAAGAAATGCAACACTATATGCCTTTATTTATATTTTACTGTGCTACAAAGTGAATATAAATAAAGACTTATTCGATTAGAGTCTAGCATAAATCATAATTAAATCTAAAATTAACACAATACATTAGATATTATTTTGGCCAAAATTCGTAGAATTAATCAAACATCCGAGAGTAATGCATCATGAGTAAACTATATAAATTTTTTTGTATAAATCATAAATTAATATAGTTAGACAGGTGCACCTTTAAAAGTCCAATATGAGGTTTTAATATATAGGAAAGTATAGTTTAGGGGGGCTTTGGGGACACCAGATAGTTTAAGTAGGTAACTGATAAAAAATGATAGTTTCGGCGAGTTTTAAGCTGAGTTAAATAGCCACGTGTAGTGCTACATAACACTTTTTTAGATAATTAGGAGCGTGTACTAGACACACCTCTTTTGGGGACATCTCCAACCTTTACCCCCCATTTTGGTCCCCAAAATGGGGATTTTTTCCATTTTGGGGACAACTTACTACAACAATTCTCCCATTTTTCCCCCAAAAGAGAATATTCTTTTTTATATTCTTCTCTCTCTTCTATATTATATTATTATCTTTCATTTCAATTTTATTTTTAATTTTCATTAAACAAATTTCATCTTTTATTTTGTTATATATCTCCCTACTAAGTTATTATGCTATTCCATTAAACATATCTTCCTATTAAGTTATTATGTTATTTACTGTAGTTTTAATTTTTATGTATTTTAATTTAATGTATTTTCAATTTTCATGTATTTCTAATTTTAATATATTTTGTATTCGCACCTTTCAATTTTAACAACATCTAATATTTTATATTTGCACCATTCATTTTCTGAGATGATTATATATTTTTTGTACAATTATAACTTATAATAAAATTAACTTATAATAAAATTAACTTATAATTTTACATAAAAATAATAAATGCACGAAAATTAATTTATCAAAATTATACGCCAAAGTTAAGATGTAAAATTAATATTATAAAGATATTACATAAACATAATTAGGTATATATAAAGAGATAAATTAAAAGAGTTAAATAATAAAATAATAATAAAATATGCATGAATAGTAATGAGGGAGATGAATAGTGTACCACATATTTGGGGGAACACTATTCATCCCCCATTTTGGGGGCAAAAATGGGGGAGGGTTGGAGCTTTATTATGGCAAAAGTTGCCCCCATTATGGAGAAATGGGGGAGGGTTGGAGATGGCTTAGTTTAAGGGCAATATCATTCAGAGGGGTTTTGGGGATACCGAATAGTTTAAGTAGGAAACTAACAAAAACATAATAGTTTAGAGGGATTTTGGGGTATTAGCTCTTTCTTATAATGACATGTTGTTCGAGTTAGTTTCGATTATTTTATTAGGTACCTATTCCCTGTAATAGTATATATCAGATAACTTTACCCACTTAGATTTGATTATCTACTATTTTTTGGCTCCGTTGAAATTTGAACTTAAGATCTTACGGTTCTCCTTTTCATTGATCATTAAAGGCGAAATACACAAAGCGCCCCTTCAAGTTGTCCTCAACGATCATTTGAATACCTCAACTGAGACCATTTCCAGCTAGACACTTCAAGTGACTGTTAAGTAAATCAAATAGACAGCCTAGTGCAACATACCAGATGCGTGAGTTACACTTGCCAAATGAGCCAATAAATAAATGACACGTGTAATTTGTAATTAAAATTTAACACAAATTAACCAAAAAAAGAAAATAAATTTAAAGAAGAAAAAACCCTTTTCCAGCGGCCTTTCTCTCCCCCCCCCCCCCCCAATTTCATCTTCTTCTTCCAAACCAAAACCAGCGCCACCCCCATCGTAAGGTTTACAAAATCCAAAATTGGTCTTTTAAATCCTTGAAACCATCACAGCCAGTTGTTCCCTTCACATACAAAAAAAATATTCCACATTTTAAAGTATCTACAAATACTCTAAAGTCTAAACAATCACTACGATATATATAATTCTGGAACCAAAAGTGAAACTCGTTTTAATTTGCTTTTGTCCATTTCAAAGCGCTAGAATGGGAGAAAATGGAGAGAACACTTGTGAGGTTTCAATTTCTTCTTCTTCTTTTTGCCATTTTTTTCTTCCTCTTCTTCTTCTGGCCATGTTTTTACAGGTTCTGGCATTTTTTTTAATCCAAATCTGAAATTTTTGTTGTCACAAATACTTCTCAAAAGAAAAATAATTTGTTACTGTGTGTCTGTTTTGCTACTGTGTGATTTGCTTCTCTTGGCAAAAAATCTGATATTGAGAGGAGGAGGTGTGAAAATTGGAGGAGAAAGGTGTGAAAATTAGGTGGGGTCCATATTATTTTAGGAAAAGAAAAAGAAAAAATCTAATTTTATATAGGCAACTCGCGTCTAGAAGAGTGTTTCACGCGATGGAGGCTGACATGGCCGGGTATTTAGTTGATCTTCTTTTATGAATAAATAAAGTGTCTAGTTGGAATCAGTTGAGGTGTTCAATTGATCGTTGAGGATAACTTGAAAGGGCGCTTTATGTATTTCGCCATCATTAAACTATATCGTTAAGTGCTTTTTGATTTCTTTTCCTCATTTTCTGCACTATAGGAGTTGTGGGTAAATCATTTTGTTTTCTGTGAGAAATCATCTAGGCAGCTTCTTATGCAATATTACGGAAAACACATTCAAATAACTTTAGATAAGTTAAGACTATATGATTAATAATGTTAACAGTTGCCATGATTATTTGATATTAGACTACTAATGTCACAGGGGCGTTTTCTGTCTGCCAAAAGCACTGCCCGTTGTGCGGCAGTCAAGTCCCCACTTGACTTCAGCCTTGTCAGATTTTCTTTCTGTCACGACCCGGATTTTTCACCCTCAGGAGTCGTGATGGCGCCTACTAATGTGAGCTAGGCAAGCCAATTATTTGAACAAATTACTTCTTTATCCATTTTGTACTTTTTAACAATTATGAAACAATAACATTTAAACAGCGGAATTTAATATGAGAAAAATAAAAACAATAAATTATATGAACATGAATCCAATACAATTGTTTGAACCTCTACTACCCAGAACTAGTGTTACAGTTCCACAGACGATCTAAGAATGCTACATACAAAGTCTGAAAATAAGCAATACACTGTTTCTGAATTAAGGAAGTGAAACAAGAATAAAGGGATAAAGGGAGACGCCAGGGCCTGCGGACGCCTGCAAGTCTGCCTTGGATCTCCGTGTGGACTGAAGGCAGCCACCCAATCTACGGTCCAATTGTTGCTGCTCCGGGATCTGCACATAATGCAGAGTGTAGTATCAGCACAACCGACCCCATGTGCTGGTAAGTGCCTAGCCTAACCTCGGCAAAGTAGTGACGAGGCTAGGACCAGACTACCAAATAAACCTGTGCAATTCAACTATATACAGCGGAAAAGAAGAACATAAATATATAGTCAAATATGTGAGGGATAACATGTTGCGGGGGAACTATCAATTTAGAATAGAAAGACAACAGGTAATTGAAAGAAACAACGTATCTCAGATATCAACGAAGAATCAGAAATCAATAAGTGCACGACATCACTCTTTGTGCTTTTACTCTCGTCCTCACCAAATCATTCAAGTAATGAAAATGTGCATGGCATCACCCTTCATGCTTTTACTCTCGTCCTCACCATGTAATCAATATAATCGGCACGGAATTATACATCGTGCGGCACGACATCACCCTTCATGCTTTACACTCTTTCCTCACAAATCATACACGGCATCACTCTTCGTGCTTTAACACTCTTCCTCACCCAAACAACAATCACAAACAATAGGGCAAATAAATGAAATTACAATAAGAATCCTGGCAAGGGAACAATAGTTCAACAATCAAGTCCCGGCAAGGGAAAAATCATCAAAAGAAGCATCAACATCCCGGCTAGGGAAATAACATAAAAAAATAATAAATTCCCGGCAAGGGAGATAATATAATGATTCTCTTCTCTTTTTCACTTTTACTTCACAACTCACTTCACAACTTTGAGTCAATGCTCTAAAAAGTTCAATTTCCACTTATACTTTCACATTTTATTGT